AGCGGGTTGAGGGAGAGTGGACCGCTGAATATAGAAGGGGGAAGGTGATGGAGATGTTGGTGAAGATGACGATGGTGTTGATGAAGATCGCGATGATGATGATGGCCTCCGGCAGCGCTCCGGCGCCCCCGGAAGCAAGGGAGAGAGAGCCCCCCTTCTTCTTCTTCTTCCTTGACCTCCTCCCTAGATGGGAGAAGGGTTTCCCCTCTGGTCCTTGGCTCCCATGGCTTGGGAGGGGCGAGAGCCCCTCCGAGATTGGATCTCTCTCTCTCTGTTTCTGCGTTCTCTAATTCTGCCCCTTCACCGTTTCCTTTATATCTGGAGATCCGTAACTCAGATTGGGGTGAATCTTTCGCCCAGATTTTTCTCATAAAATTAGCTTTCTTGCGGCAAAAGAAGAGCGTCAACCACCTTACGGGTGACCCATGAGAGTGCCAGGAGCGCCCAGGGGGGTGGGGGCGCCCCCTCTCTCGTGGCCATCTCGGACACCGTTTCGCATTGATTCTTCGTCCGTAAAATCCCAAATATTTCAAAATAATTCTCTATCCGTTTTTATCCCATTTGGATTCTGTTTGATATGGGTTTCCTGCGAAACATAAAACATGCAACAAACAGGAACTGGCACTGGGCACTGGATCAATATGTTAGTCCCAAAAATAGTATAAAAAGTTGCCAAAAGTATATGAAAGTTGAAGAATATTGGCATGGAACAATCAAAAACTATAGATACGACGGAGACGTATCATGCCTCCGGTGTATCTTTTGTCTTACCATACACGCCTGAGAAGCCTAGCAGGTTCATGCAAACATTCTTCGTCATGTGCATCACGTCGATTGTAGAGCAGACCTTTAGGTCTTTCCAATAGGGTAGGTCCCTAAATATAGATTTCTTCTTTCACATGGGTGCGTGTCCCTCATCGTCATTCGGAAAAGATTGTCCTCCGGGACCCTTTCCAAAAATTGCTTTTAAATCATTGACCATATCAAGTATACCATCACCAGTACGGAGGACATGCTTCTTTCGGTGATCTCCCTCACCTTTGCAATGCTTGCCATTCTTTCTTAATGCATGCTTAGTCGGAAGAAATTGACATGTCCTAGGTACACATTCTTCTTTTATTTTTCCAAATATATACCTTCAGTCTCATCTAAACAGTGTGTGCATGCATTGTATCCCTTGCTTGTCTGTGTTGAAAGGTTACTAAGAGTAGGCCAATCATTGATGGTTACAAACAGCAACGCTCGTAGGTCAAACACAAATTTTGTTTGTGCTCATCCCACACACGTACACCTTTTTTATCCCACAGTTGTAAAAGTTCTTCAACTAATGGCCTTAGGTACACATCAATGTCGTCGCCGGGTTTCTTAGGGCCTTGGATAAGCACTGACATTATAATGAACTTCCGCTTCCTGCACAACCAAGGAGTAAGGTTATATATACATATAGTCAAAAGGCCAGGTGCTATGATTGCTGCTATGCTCCCCAAAAGGATTAATGGCATATTCACTTAAACCAAACCATACGTTCCTTGCGTCACCTACAAAGTCCCTCCATTTTCTCTCGATTTTTCTCCACTGTGACCCGTCAACGGGTACTCTCTACATCCCGTCCTTCTTAATTATGGTCTTGTTTGTGCCATCGCAACAACTTGACATGCTCTTTGTTTTTGAATAGACGTTTCAACCATGGTATTATACGAGCATACCACATCACCTTGGCACTAACCCTCTTCCTGGGGCCCTCGCCCTCAACATCACCAGGGTCATCTCATCTGATCTTACACTGCAATGCTCCGCATACCGGGCATGCGTTCAAATTCTCGTACTCCTCACCGCGGGTAGAGGACGCAATCATTAGGCATGCATGTATCTTCTGCACCTCTAATCCTAGAGGACGGTGAACCTTCTTTGCTTCATACGTAGTGTCAGGCAATTTGTTATCCTTTAGAAGCTTCTTCTTCATTATTTTCAGTAGCAAACCAATTCCCTTATCAGATACACCATTCTATGCCTTTCATTGCAGCAATTCCAGTGTGGTACCGAGCTTTGTGTTGCCATCTTTGCAATTTGGGTACAACCATTTTCACATGCGATCGAACTTCAACTTCTCCCTTTCACTTTCGTATCCTTCTCTATGCATCAGAAATGACCTGGCGAAGATCATCATCCGGCACAACTGGTGCCTCTTGATCTTTAGCTTCCCTCGTTGCAGTATCACCGTATTCAGGGAATATAGGATCTGGATAGTTTTCATCATCTTCTTTTTCTTCATTGTCTTCCATCATAACACCTCTTTCTCCGTGCTTGGTCCAAACATAATAGTGGGACATGAAACCCTTCTCAAGCAGGTGGATGTGAAAGGTTTTCGAGGAAGAGTAATTCTTCATATTCCCACAGTGAACACATGGACAGTACATAAAACCATTCTTCTTGGTTGCCTGAGCCACACCGAGAAAAATACGCAGGCCCGTAATGTACTCTGAAGTGCATCGGTCACCGTATGTCCATTGTCGGTTCATCTGTATGATGTAATTAAGTATATCAAAAACCATTACAGAACATCATGAATAGAGAAACAACCAATTTAATATAAGTTCATCATCACATTAAAACCAAAGTACAGTAGTGATCAAATGTTACTACAGCAAAAATAAATACATAATATTCATATATAGTTCTCATAAAACAACATACAACTATTTAAAACAATTAAATGCAACAACAAACGCGATCAAAATCACTACTAAGGTGACAATTGATCCAACAGCATAATGATACCAAGTCTCTTTATCAATGTCATAATTTGTAATCTTCCTAATCTTCAAGCTCATTGCATCCGTGTTGATCTTGTGATCATCGACGACATTGGCAACATGCAACTCCAATTTCATCTTCTCTTCTTCAATTCTTTCAATTTCTCTTTCAAATAATTATTTTCTTTTTCAACTAAATTTAACCGCTTGACAAGAGGGTCGGTTGGAATTTCCGATTCACATACCTCCTAGATAAAAATATCTATATCAAGTTGGTCGGCATAATTGTCATAAATACGTACTAAATAAAACAAATAGTTACTATAAAAGATAATATACCACATCTGAATCATAGACCGGGTGAGAGCCGACGGGGCCGGATACCAAAACCATGGCCTATATAATAACAAACAATAATACAAGTAAGAAAATTACACAAGTAGCTATATAAATCATACAAGTCAGAATTTTTTCTCTAAAAAAGATAATTAAGAACAACATGCTCACCACGGTGGTGCCGGCGCGAGATCGGCACGGGCGATCGACGGGGGTGAGGACGACGAGCACGGAGACGGGACAACGCCCTACACAGGTGCAAACTAAAAAGTTAATTTAAGCTCAAGTTATGCATCTAAATCAAATAAACTCACACACACACTCCTCCACTAAAACCCAGAAACCACAATACTTCTAGAGCATTTTGAAATGAGCTAAACTAGTAGTGAGAGATGATGATGAAGTTGCTAACCTTTGTAGACCACTTGGATAGTTGGTGCATCGCCAAACCTAGACAAATCTTGAGGAAAATGGAGCTTGAAGGTCGAGCTTCGAGAGGAGAGAAAGCTTAAGTGAGGCTCGGGCATTTCATCAAACACCTTATGTGCATAGGAGGTCAGAACGCAGTAGCACACACTTCCCACACGCTAGCTGGCCAAAAAATAGAGGAGTGAGCGGGCGGGGACGAGCATATGTATAGCCATTCTTTTAGTCCTGGTTGGTATCTAGAACCGGGACTGAAAACAGATGTTTAGTCCCGGTTCCAGACACGAAGCGGGACTAAAGGGGTTGCGCCTGGAGCCAGACCCTTTAGTCCTGGTTGGTGGCTGGAACCGGGACTAAAGGTCCCGGACAAACCGGGACTTGTGCCCGCTGAGGCCCGATCGTCCTGGCCGCTTGAACCGGGACTGATGCAAGTCGATCGGGACCGTTGCTCTGGTCTGACAAAACCAAAGCCATGTGTTTTTTACTAGTGACAACAAAATACATGACTATAAACTAAATCAATAGTCGAAACGTACTACTAGCTTTGAATAAAACATCAACTAATGTTAAATTATGGCGTAGAGATAGCAAGGAAAAGTAGTCGAACACATGCAGCATCAGATTGGTTCATTTGTCGTGCTCACGGCCATCAAGACACTCAATTATTCAACGAGGGTACGTACATGTCTATTCTCGATATTAATGTGACGCGGGCCACGGAGTAATTGGGCACTCCACCGCCAGAATGCATGTGTGCATGCTTGGTACATCCGTCGGTCATACTACTCATAATTAAATTAAGTAGGTGCATACATCGGTTAGCTTGGTCATAGTGGGAGTAACATAGGTAGTAACATAGATGTCACATAAGCAAAAATGTTGATGTGGCAAGTAGTTAATGAGGAGAGAGGTAAATAGAGTAACCTAATATGTTACCATCACATAGCGCCTTTCAATGCAAAATGAGTCTACAAGACAATAAATGAACATGTGTATGTTACTATACATATGACACTTTCCACTATAAGGATAGTAACATAGAGTAATAACATATGCATGTTACTACTCTAAGTTACTCCCCACTATGACCAGCCTTATACAGGTGGCTCGGCGATATCCCGCAAGTGCAAGATTTTCGGGAATGTGTGCATGCTTGGTCCATCCACCTAGTAATACCCAACATCCAACTACCCCCATAATTAATTAATACCCATCACTCGATCCTAACAACTAACAACTGCCTAATGCATTAACACACATCGATATCGAACCCATCCTCGTGGACACGATACTTCACACCATGCTAGCAGTACTACAGTCTATTCCAAATGTGATTCCTCGTTGGTCAGTAGACGCCCTATTTAAGCACATGCATCCCCTATACATCCTCACCAATACCAGTGCTAGCAAATCTAGCTATCCCACCCTCTCTCCGTGAGCTAGCCCACCACCACAAGGTCCACAACTACAGCTAACTCGGTCGAGATGGCTCGCACTGCAGCTACTAAGCTCGTGCTGGTCGCCCTGGTGGCGGCAATGATCCTCGCAGCCTCCGACGCGGCCATCAGCTGCGGCCAGGTGAGCTCTGCCTTGACCCCCTGCGTCGCCTATGCGAAGGGCAGCGGGACCAGCCCGTCTGGGGCCTGCTGCAGCGGCGTCAGGAAATTGGCCGGCTTAGCGCGGAGCACCGCCGACAAGCAAGCTACATGCAGGTGCCTCAAGAGTGTTGCCGGAGGGCTCAACCCCAACAAGGCCGCAGGCATTCCCTCCAAGTGCGGCGTCAGCGTCCCCTACACGATCAGCGCATCCGTGGACTGCTCTAAGATCCACTGATCGATTTCTGGCCGCCATCATCGCCGATTATAGTTCCAGCGATTGATGCTGAGTACGTTGAGGTCTCACACACACATATATACATATACATGAATAAATGCTCTGATATGATCTCCATGTGAGAGATAGGAGTACGTACATCGAGCCAGCTTTGCATAGCTGGCCACTGTTGTATCTATTTTGTATCAGCGTTTGATTGTTCGTTCACTCCCTTTGAGCAGACACGGGAGTTTGTTGTACTTTGTACGATGTACGCTTATCATATATGGATTATAAATTAATCTACCTCTATTCGGTTAACATGCGTCCTTATTTGAAAGGACTAAGAGCATCTGTAGTAAAGTCACGATAATGCATATGAAGCCATATGAAGCCATATAATGCATATGAAGCCATATGCATTTGGAGGCTCGCCAGGCGACGCACAAGTTCAGAGTCGCCATATCTGAATCTTCAAAATTTGGTACCCACGGTATCCAGTCCACCAGGGTTCAAGTCCTTATGCTCGCATTTATTCCTCGATTTATTTCAGCATTTTCAGCGATGCACATTCAGTAGGAGGAGACGTCCCGTCGACGACGAGGTGCCTACGGTAACTTCGTAAGTTTTAAGATGATATGTCGGCTCAGTGTTTCGAAGGTGCTCATAAGGATATGGTATGCGTTCATAAGGATGAGCGTATGCGTGTGTATATGAGCGCTTGCGTCTATACCGTGTTCAAAAATTTGGTACCCACTCATCAATGCGACATCTTTTTTGAAGCAGGTCGATGATGGCTTAGGCCGCAAATAATAATAATAATTCTTACTTTGGTGATGGATCGAGGCGTACCAGGTGCCTTCCATGGGCGGTGAAGGATTCACGGTTTCCACCTTTGACGATGACTTGAAGACCCCTAGCCTTCCAGCGCAGGACGGAGTCAACGTGTGGATGATGGTAGTGGGATCGGCCACATTGGGCACTGGAATCTTGGGTTGCAAGCAGTCGGCATCCCCCAGATCTAACGACAATTCCAAACGCACGACTACAAATCATCAGCCCGCGTCCCTTTGAGGGTAAACCAACACAAACCATGGACCAACGCGCGGGAGTAAACGGACAAATGTCCGATTTGAGTCCGCTTTCGACTCATTTCCGGCCCAAACTTAAGACGCGTTGGCGGTTAAACGGACACGTGCGGACGATCGCGACTTCTAATGCACCTAGTACTTTTTTCCCTGTTATTTAAGGGGGCAAGTACTACTGGTTGGGTGACGGTGCCTCTGCCATTCAACTCAGATCTACTCGTTTGTTATCTGCGGCAGTAATATTGTTTATGAATCTAAGATGAACATACTTTGCCCTTGTCCACCCCTGGCCCGCTCATCGGCGACACACCCGTCCCTTGTTCTATCCCCCTCGCCCGAAACTCGGGCCGCACACCCCGTCCCTCTCCCTTCTCGTCCCTAGCCACCTCAGCCGTGCCCGTGTAGCTGCCGAGCATGACCGCGTGCTCTCCACAACACTAGTTGTCCAACCCTTCGCCCCCGCCTCAATCGCAACCGGCAGCGGAATTTGGAGCGGATCTAGCCGGATTTGTCTGCGGCAGGCCACTGAAGGCCACAGAGCGCCATGGACTGGCCGGGTACCGGTCCGGTCAAACAACGCGCGCCCCCAGGCCGCATGCAGGTACTGACTCCGTCTCTAGCCTCTCGGATCTACCCCGTCGCTAATTCGACAAGTACACTAACGGTCGTCGTCCGGACTCGGTGCTGGCCCAAATGCTCGTCGGCGCACCGAAGCCGCTCATAAAGTGCGACGACTATCTAGTGAAGGTCATGTGCCGCGTGTCTACAACGCCGGAACACCCCGGATGAGTGTCTGTCAAGTGCAAAAATGATGGGGTACGTGCTAGTTCGCTTCGGCTGCGATTCCGGATTTGGTTTGTTTGCTTACAATCAAATATTTATTGTGTAGAATGGATGCAACTTTTGATTTGAGGAAGAAGAATACATCGATGTACTGTTAGCATGCAATTTAATGCTCGTCGGTGCACAGACACCACTTATAGGATGCGACCGCGTCTGGTCGCCCGGCCAACGCAAACCACAACCGGGCAGACACGGCCCCATCCCCACCCCCGAACGGACAAAATCCAGACAAAACAGACGTCCATTTGGGATCGTGCGTTGGAGTTGACCTAAAGGAATTAGCGATGTTGGAAGTTCTCGGCCTAGCCACCTGGAACGCGCCTGATCTGGGAGAAGAATAATAGAAACATCGGGGGCGTAGGGTTTTTAATGGGCTGGGCAAAAAAGTATGGGATCGTGATACACCATCTTATTTCTTCTCGAATTATGGCTCAACAAAATTTTTATTTTCCAAATTTATTTTTATCATCCATGTTTGTGTAGCATCCTTAAATATCTTAAAGAACTTACTACATGCTGCATGACGTAGAATGTAGACATAGTAGAGGGCGTCTATATAATAACGTCCATACTCCCTCCGTCCGTGAATAAGTGTACATCTAGCTTTTGTCCTAAGTCAAAGTTTTGAAACTTTGACCAACTTTATAGAAAAAAAGTAGCAACATTTATGACACTAAATTAGCATCACTAGACTCGTTTTGAAATGCATTTTCAGAATATACCAATTTGATGTCATATGTACTACTACTCTTTTCTAAAAAGTTGGTCAAAATTATAAAACTTTGACTTAAGACAAATAGTAGAAGTACACTTATTCGCGGACGGAGGGAGTAGGCGACTATTTTTGTTGTAGTGTGTGTAGGATAAGAACTACTATACTCTATGTGTAGAGATAGCCCAGCCAGTTAATATGGTAATTATTTATTTGAAGGCAATGAATATATTAACAATTTCTTCTCTGTATGCAACAATGACAACGCAGCATATTAGAGGCTAAGTGAAGTTCTCGCGTAGCACAATAAACTTTCTTATACATGGACACCAGTTCAAAAATAGGAGTATTTTACCAGTAATATTATATTGATATTGCCAGCAAAAAATCTAACACCTTCAATCTCCCTTGCTGAAGACAATGGATCTCATCATGCAAACCTGAAGACTTTTACTAAAACTCAGCCATTCATGTCAACTGGAAGAGAGAGAAATATTATTTCATTCCCCAAATAATAGTACGTATTATGTATTGCAACCCCGCATCATTTATTGAAAATTGCTATTTTGTTAGTTCAATACATATAGAAAGCAAAAGCACCCAGGATAAAACTACCAGTACTAATAAGATCAGACCGGTCGTTGGACACCAATCAAAGTATATAGGATCCACACTTGATAAAATCAACAGTAAATGTTTTCATTGGTTTGATTGATCACAAACCTGTTTCTACTAGCTCCACGAAGACAAAGAAACTCAGGCCTACAATCCAATGGAAACTGTTAAAAAAATGCTTTCTAACAGATTAGGAAAACATGAAAGCTAAAAAATACTGATCAATAGTTTTTCAACACTACCAGATACTGAAATTTTTCTGTGGGCCAAAAACCGACAGGAAAATTAGGAAAACCGTCAGGAATAATATTTCCTAATGGTTGACCGACAGGAATATATATCCGTCAGCCATAGCTTGACAGGGATAAGATGAAATGCCTGTCGGGTGGCCGACAGGAAATTGTAACATCCCTGTCGGTTCAAAACCCTCAGGAAAATAGAATTTGGTGCACAAAAAAAATATAAATATATTTCACATGATAGACCATTTCACCATACAAAGCAGTTCAATAGATTACATTAATCACAGTTTAAATAGAGCACATGTATCTACTTTGTATACAAATCTGTCTATAATTAGCATACAACAGCTAAAGGTCACCGATACAGAAGTGCACAACTAATAACACGCAAGTTCTTCAATTACATCTGGAGAAACATGACCTCATTTGTCACTCAGTCACAGCTTGGATTGCAAGCTTCCCTTTCAGATTTTCCTCCACCAAACAGACTCATTGATCTATTACAAAAAGAATAGACTCGTTGAAGTAAAGATTGCAAGAACTACATCATATTATCATAATCAATGTGATAGAGCAAGAAACTACTCGACGTCTCAGTTTCTCAAATTAACTTGGCCAAACCTTGGCTCCATTTCTCAAAAGTTATCACATAATAACTGAGTGGAACTATAAGACACATAACTGTATAAAAAATGCATAAGTAAGCTTGTTTTGAGAGAATAGTAATACCTAGCCTCGGAAGGATGTGCCTACTAAATATAACAGTTTTACAATGAAAGAACACAAATACAAATTCATTGTTTTTCAACATGAACATGTGGATAAGCAATCAACAAAGAACATGTTGAATCAGAACTCAGCCTAATTAGGAAACCACTCAAGAATAATAGGGAGTTAAGTCTCTGCATTTCAGTCTTCCAAAGTCATTTATATGGAAATGTGCTTGCACTTTAGACTAGTGTGTGCTGCTAACAATTTTAAGTAGCATCTAGATAATTAGTGAGAGCACTAGGGCAGTCTCATCATTGATACCATATACGGGAACATATAATAAGAAAATAGTAAGTTCCAAGAAGCAAATAGTAAAAAATTAACCAAACCCATATGACATACAGTATGGCCCATGATAGGAGCCCCTCAACATATGTTTGTCTTTTTAATTGTTATTAACAGAACATACATTTCTTGTCCATAGCTATTGCTAAAAGGCTTTTCCAAGTATAGTTTCATTGTCAATGCTCAATTAGGTGCTTACAAGTTCGAGTTCAGAAACTTGGAAATGTGAATACGTACAGAAGCCGAAATGTATGAAGTATCAATCTGTAACATAATCATTCAAGCTTCGAACCACATATGGAACATCATTGCAGAAACCTGGATCATATATTTTAATACGTACCTGAAACAGATAGGCTTTGACCATGTCTTATTTCTCCATCGATGTGCTTCTCTATAGATGAAAACCTCTGTACAAAACAGTACCCAGATTTAAGAAGCATTGATGCTACTTTCTGCAGAAAA